GGTTGCAGTATTTTCAATAATCTACGCAGCTGCTTCGGAGAAAACTATGTCCATCTGACAAAAAAAGGTATCTTTCCTTACGAGTATCTTGACGATTGGAGCCGATTTAATGAAACTTCTCTACCTGATAAAAATAAATTTTACTCGCAGCTCAAGAACAAGAACATCAGTGACGATGAGTATAAATATGCCCAAGATATATGGACTAAATTCGCCTGCAAAACATTTGGCGATTATCACGATTTATATCAAAAAACTGATGTTTCATTGCTACCAGATGTTTTCGAGAATTTTCGTCAGGTTAGTCATGTAAATTACGGATTAGACCCCTGTTTGTATTATTCTGCTCCTGGGCTGTCTTGGATGCTTTACTTAAAACTAGCGAGATAGAATTAGAACTCTTAACAGATATCTATATGTTTAACTTTATTGAAAAAGGCATCAGAGGCGGAATTAGCGTTATAGCAAAAAAATATGCAGCAGCTAATAATAAATATTTACAAAGTTATGATAAAAATCTTCCGTCGAGTTATATTATTTATTTAGATAAAGTGAACCTTTATGGGTGGAGCATGCAGAAGCCAATGCCTTGCGGAGGGTTTCATTGGATAACTCCAAACCAGTTTCTCAACGAAACTGAAAAAAATCTTCCCAAAGATATTTCATATTTTGTTGAAGTTGATTTAGACTACCCCAGTTCGTTACACGATCTACATAATGACTGTCCATTTTGCGCAGAATCGATGACGATTGATTACAGTTTATTATCGCCTGAGCAACGAGCTATGACAACAGGAAAATGCCCTATCGTTAACAAGTTAGTTCCAAATTTGTTAGATAAAAGCAATTATGTCATGCACTACAAAACCTAAAGCAAGCGGTAGCTGCTGGACTAATTCTGATAAAAATCTATCGTGTGCTAAAGTTTAATCAATCGCAGTGGATGGCGGATTATATTAACCTAAACACGAAACGTCGTGCCGTAGCTACAACCGAATTTGAGAAAAACTTTTTCAAGTTAATGAACAACTCAGTGTTTGGAAAGACTATGGAAAATGTATGTCGTCGAGTTTCTCTCAAAATTGTTAATGATATTAATCGCAGAAATATGTTAGTTAGAGACGATGGTTTTGTTAGTATGAAAATATTTAATGACAATCTTGCCCCAATACAACGACGAAAGACAAATTTAAAGTTAAATAAGCCAATCTATGTTGGTGCAGCTGTAATTGATATATCAAAGTGTTTGATGTACGATTTTCATTATAATTTTACCCAAAAGATGTGGCCAGATTAGGAGCTTCTATTTACTGATACGGATTCTCTGGTGTACAATATAAAATGTGAAAATGTCTATCAAGATATTTACGATAATAAAGATCTGTTCGATTTATCAGAATATCCAACTTCTAGTGGATTTCATGACAATTCTAACAAGAAAGTTATAGGAAAAATGAAAGACAAGTTTATGTTTGTACCGGTTAGAGAGTTTGTTGGACTTAGAAGCAAAATGTATGCTGTTATATTAGACGACAATAAACTGACAAAGAAAGCTAAAGGCATCCCTAGAGGATATGTAAAAAAGATGATGCATTTTGGGGACATTGAAGCTGCTCTTAACAATAGCGTCACCTTTATTAAAACCAATGTCATTCGAACAAACTATCATAAGCTTGAAACGAATACAATCATAAAACGTGGACTAAGTAATTTTGATGATAAAAGGTATTGCAAAGACGGAATTAATACTCTCGCTCTTGGACATTATTTAAGTAATATTGTCTAAGTATTAGAAATAATGTTTGAAAATTTGACATTAGCGGAAGGAATTAATAATAAAGTAAAACTTTTAATGATGTCTAACCAACAGTTGTCCTTTCAATTTGATGACGAAGTGTCAGGCATTTGTTTTAGTAAATTTGATAGAATAAAACTTTCTCTTATTAGAACAGACAAGAGTAAGTATTTCCCATATCTCGAACGTTTAAGAGATGCTCTTTCATCAAAATATGAAAATATACATAATCCCATAAGTCAAAGTATGTACACTAAAATTATAATAGATTTGGACAGGTCAAAAGTTTTTGCAAAAGGTATCAAGTATTTATTAAACAAATTAGCTATGAATGAACTATTTGAAAGTCGCCGCAAAGTATCTGGTAGAATTAAGTTTATGTTATACTTTCATGAAAACATTAGATACTTAATCGCAAATGTTGATATATTGTCCATAGGATCAGAGATTTAAATGTTTGAAAATGATCTAATGCCCTTAACGTAACTAAACTTAAAGCCGTATCTAACTGAATAATTTGCAAAATCTATATATGTATTGATTTTCTATTTGCAGACAGCACAGTCTGTGTATTGTAGGCTGATCTCACTACGCATATTGGGAAAATGGTCATGTACATAATTTGAAGTCAAATGTGATACACAATTATATATATTGCCAGAGGCTTCCTTCACATTGTAATTAGAAATTCGTTTAATGTATACAAAATAAAATCATTTATTTGTAGATTTTATTTATAATGTTTTCAAAATAGATATTTTATCACTTAGTTTAGCCACACGCCTTTGTTGGCGAAGAGTACTGCATTACATTTCTCTTTTATATTGCAATGCGAAATGAAAATATTCCTTTTCTCTATAATAATATCGTTTTTAAAACAGAAAATATAATGCAGAATTACGTGCTCTTTAATGATCAGAAAATGTATAATGCTGCTTTTGTTAAATCTATATATTAACTAGTTCAATATATATATATATATATATATATATATATATATATATATATATATATATATATATATATATATATATATATATAATGCGTTGGTAGCTCAGATAGTTAGACATAATGGCTGCGGAAATTGCGATTGGGGTACGAATCTTATGAAAAGCAAAAATTTGTCTATGGGAGGGGGCGATATTATGCCCCACGAAAAATTATCAATTTAGTTGGGGGACCAGCCGAACCCCTATATTTGTGAACAGAAATTAATTCACCCAACCACAACGTCAAAAACGTTGTGTGATAGTTTTCACACCAATGGATTTGATATTTAGGGGTGGGTGTGCTAGTTTCTGTTCACAAGTAGAAAAGGCCATCATTTTCATCATATCATCATTATATGTTATGTGTTTGTGACGTCTTGTGTCGTCCAAAAATAGACCAGTAGGAGGTAATTTAACCATGTGACCTGCTAATGGGTACTCACACAAGGGTCAATTTCAAAAACACAACTAAAAATAACTTAATGAGGTTCTGAGTTTCTAGACTTTCGATATATAAATAATCTAGGATCTCTTTGCGAGGGCAATAAATGGTCGCATAATAAGACCTACACCGCAGACAGCCCTTTGAAGTTTCTAACATTTCGTCTTATAGTTAGAAACTTCGTCTTGGGAGTAATATCTAAACAAAATTCAGAACCTCATTAGGTTATATCTGATCAACTAAAGGTTCTACGCCTTGCCCCTAATTAACAAATCAACCGCATGCCTATCTGTAAATATTCATGTTCAACAATCAGTTTATGTAAATGTGCTGTCCCTAATTAACAAATCAACCACACATGACCATCTGTAAATATTCATGCTCATAAATCGTTATATGTAACCTCTAAACCTGCTCTGATGTCATAGGGCAACAGTGGGGTAAATGAGGTTAAAATGTGCTGTCCCTTAATTAACAAATCAAACACATGACCATCTGTAAATATATTCATGCGCATAAATCGTTATATGTGACTTCTAAACCTGCTCTGATGTCATAAGGCAAGAGTGGGGTAAATGAGGTTAAAATGTGCCGTCCCAATCAAAATCACACATTCAAAAAATCATTGTATATAACCATCTTCATCTCAAAAAAGTCCTCAATATGAGGACAAATCTTTTTATTGTTTTTGTTTTTCGACTGATCCATATTTCAGCGATACATAATATCCCACCTTTTTAATGCAATCGCTTATTATTTTAGGTTTAATACCAGTATACCCTGACGCTGCTTTGATCGAATTAAATCTTTTACAAAATCTATTTGTTAGATCGAATCCAACATATCTGATTGAGTATGACATTTTATATATAATATTTTATTTGTTTAATATAACATTTTTAACAAATAAGTACTTAGTATTAGTGAATATTGACGAATCCTTTATCAGAGACCCTCCAGCCACAAAACATATTTTTTTGCCAGAAAATGTGTTATCATGTAAAAGTCATCGTTTTGAGCTAACAAAGGCTGCTGACAAAAATGTTAACTTACAACGTTTTGGGGGGCTGGGGGTCTCTGATAAAGGTTTGTTTTTATATCTCTAATTAAAAATCTTTAAAATATTCAATTAGATATAAAATATTACTATATAATGTTAAAATTGCGCGATATTGCTATAAAGAGCAATATAAAATCAGAAAAAAAACTTCTACAACATTTTCAGGTTATGATAATCGTTACAAACTGATAAAAAATTATTAACTGGAACAAGCATTGTTGTGGTTGCGGGTAAAATCCATCAAGAAATAAAAAAGCATTGAAGCCTTTACTTCACCAGGATGAGGATGAAGATTTGAAATGATAAAATTAGGGTTTTTTCACTCAGCAAAATATAACGTACTTCGCGGTAGTTTGTACGTTGATCTCCCTCAAAAATTTGAAAACAATAAATGCTATATAAATGTCAAAACTATCACGACAAATGTCTTCAAAGAAGCATTTTCCTCTGAATGTTTAGGAATAATTTTTCCAGTAGCAGAAAATAATATACTAAAGTTTGAAAAACAAAACAGTATTTCAGTAAATGATTTCAAGCTAGATGAGAAAGAAAAAGTTTGCACGAAATATATCTCAGAAAATGCTTCACAGTTAACAATAATTTTATTTAAATAGAAAACATAGAGAATTATTTATGAATTTTAATATGTCAAAATTTATCCATATTTATTGTATTCCATCCAAAGCTATATATGTGTGTCTGTCTGTTGGAAACCGCTCCGGTGGCCTAGTGGTTAGAGTGTCCGTCTCGGATGCGGGAGGTCGCGGGTTAAGACCCTGGCCGAGTAATATCAAGCACTTTTCCTAAAAAAATAGTGGTACTAACAGTTGCCTCTCTTGGCGCGCAGCATTAAGAAGTTAGTGTTAGGACTGCTCGGCCTGGTGTCAGAACATTGTGATTGTGTGGGACATCATGCCACACGTCTGTGGCATGATGCCCCAGTGCTAGACATCACTATAAACTGTCACACTGCAGACATCGTAGCGATATGACATAAACAATGTTAAAGCTACGTTAAGAATCTAAATCACACACACACACACAAACACACACACACACACACACACACACAAACACACACACAGAGTCTATTGGACATTCTCATTGTTCGGCACTCTCTACCTCTACTTTGGCATTTCTCATGATTAGTGTACTTTTCGAAGATATGGAAAGGTACTTTCTAATTTCCACTCACGAATCATGGGTCCATACTGAGTAGGCGGAAAGCCAAAAATGAATAATGTTTTGTCCGATTATACGGACGAAGGTTTGGCTAATGTGACCTAGCTACTAAACTTCTAATTATCCTAGGAGCATACAGTTGTAGCCATATTTACTATGCTGTATTATTACACAGGAAGAAATCGCCCCCAGGCAGTTCAATATCGAATTTGGCCTTTGTGTATCTTTTCATTTCGAGTAATATACTTTATGTTTCATTCTTACCAGACTGTGTAACATCCTTTTAAACAATAAACCGGATAAAAAGTGTATTGAAGAACGGACTGTCACAATAGGTGCCCAATTATATTGTAATTGTCAGCAAAGCAGGACTATTCCTTATAGACGTTGTCTCCAGTTTGCCAGTAAAGAGATGTGCGTAGTGCATAAAAAAAACACATCTACTATTTTCACTGAACGATTGAAATGGACTTTAGCACGAATATATGACATAAATTGGGGAAATAAAGTATACCATGTAATTATAGCTACTTCCGTTCATGTTTCATTGATTTTTAACTTTTATGGCAATAACGTATTTGAAAATATTTTTGTGACGCTAAAGTGCTTAATCCTTTGCTGTTAAACTTCACGTAGGGATAGAGATCGTACTATTAATAGGGATAGAGATCGTACTATTATAAATTTATAGCCTAATTGATAAGGTATTCATCGACTTTCATCACCATGGAATGTAATGCCAAATCAGGGCCTATGTAAGAAGCAAATTGAGCGAAAAACAAGAGCACCAGATGCTTAGCGCTTTGCGGCCCTGTAAGCGGTATCAGGACATCTCCCGGACATTACCCCCCTCCCCCGGACTTCTACCTCTCGACATCCCCCCAAGGACATTTCCCGCCTAGACATTCCCTCCCCCCACATTAATATAGGACGTGTTCCCCAGTCATTCCCTTTATTTATATATAGTAACATTACCTTTAATGCATACTCGCATCCTTCATCACCATTAGTGCACAGGTCTGACTTGTCACCTGAAATAAATGCATTATCAAATTTAAAATATCTACTTTCCTGACATCTCTCTCTCACACACCCACAAACACACACACACGCACGCGCGCGCGCACGCACGCACACACACATCCACACACACACACACATGGATCTTAAGGGTAGCTTGACATCACATTTTAACTGTGAAAAATAAATTCACACCCACATTGTATATTTGTCAATCAATTGCTAGTGCTTTTACTGAATGTAGAACAAGTTTCTTTGAAGTATATTGATGAGGCGTGAGTCTAACTTTTATTTATAGTGCATTTTTGGTATGTTTAAGATAAACAACAGATGGATTAATTATCCTTAAATTAATTGTAGTTGTTTCATTGCAGCACTCAAGCCAGATGTTGACATAAGCGGATTATGATGTAGCAACCAAAGAAGAAATTCAAAGACTGTTCTTCGAGAATTGCAAACATAGTCACTGACTTCGACAATCATGACATCATATAATACTTTAAAGCAATTGTTTACAACATTAACAGTTAAACAATACATTTTTAATACGTGAAAAATGTTAACTTTGTTTAACACTACTGAGATTTATTTTGAAATATCTTTCAACATAACATTATATATGCTTTTTATTTTATGGGTAAAATGGCATATTAAATGAGTTAAGTTTTAAGACCTTTTGTGGAAATGACTGTGGTGAAGTCCTATTTGATGTGGGGGATAAAGTCCACGGGGTAAATGTCCGTGGGGGGGGGGAATGCCGGGGCGGTGAGGAGTTTGGAAGGGGGAATATCCTGGGTGGGAGATGTCCTAGACCCTATATACAGCATTGAGCAAGTTAAATTAAATGTAATAAAGAAACTAATGGATGACAATTTCCATTCGAAAAAAAAAATGTCAATTTTACGTTACTCATAAATTAAATTGTTAGATCAATTCTCGTGTATGTCGTCAATTATGAAACTTCCTCCAACTTGACTTAGTACGAATTACACCTGATGTAATCTATCATCCAGGAGAAGCGGTTTTTACCGTATTTCGCTTTGATCGAAAAGATATCTTCACTTCCCTATGTCGATACAATCTAACCAGGCCGGGAGAAAAACAAATACAAAGTTTTGGTGAAGCGATTATTGCATACCATAAAGACATAAATGTCCTGTTGACTAACAGGACAAGTAGGTCAAGTTGCAAGGTGTCCGCTTCATAGCGCTTGATATTCATTCAAAAATAAGGGATGAGGTATTTCCGGAAAACGTTTATCATTACTAGGAACTGCCCTGCTCCTGCTACCGTACTTTCATTTTGTAAATCATTCCCTCATATTTGTGTCTCGAACAAGAAAACGTTTTTCATTACTGTTGATGCCATAAAGACGAAATCAAGTTAAGCGCAACTTTTTTATTGAGTTGTTTCACAAAGATAACCAATTGTATTGTTTATTATTGAAGATAACAAACTCTTAGTTTCATATTTACATTACTGAATATGTTATGTGAATCAAAATAAATACCAATATTTTATTCAAAGAAACAAGTAGATTTAAAAAGATAAACAACTAATTATTCAAACATTCGCGTCGACAATCTTGGCTCCGAAATAATCAATCGTTGCCACGAGACACGAGTATCAATACTTGGACATTACTTGAAAAAGCAAAGTAGATATATGACAGGAAGCTACGTTCAGAAAGAGTTCACATAGATCAAGGCTAAGAACATCCTTTCATGAGTGAGAGAGAGAGAGAGAGAGAGAGAGAGAGAGAGAGAGAGAGAGAGAGAGAGAGAGAGAGAGAGTCTATAAAATACATATTTCTTAAGTGTTTTTTATGACCAACATCAGCCCAATACAAAACAATAAGCTTGCTGTAAAGTTGTACCCTGAAATCACAGATCAAACCAGTTTTACATTAGAGAGAATACAATACTATTTATTTAACTACTCCAGTATGTCTAAAAACATTTGTAAATATTTATTGTCATAGAAAATAACATATACTAGCTATGATCAGCATACACTCACACTTTAATAAACATTTCCTTCAAGTTTATATTACTGGAAACCTAAACAGTTTAACCCTGTTATTCTATTCGTTTCTTTTGATTTTATTCAAGGTATTTAGTAAATTGACCCTTCCGGCAGACATTTCTTGAGAGATATGAATGTAGCTATGCGATCGATTTGTTTGTTACTTAGGATATTTCATGACGTGTCTAAAATAGCACGCATTTTACATTTTAAGTATATTATAGTTTTTGTTGTTTCAAATGTAAGATATGTCGTTTTCTGTCAGTGCCATCTACTCCTTTTAAATGAAAACTTCAGCTGTAAATCCAGTCTTTTAAACACTGATCCATCATTAACCCGATATTGTTAATGCATAAGAATTTAACATGCATGTGCAGGGATGCCTTCGTTACTTCTGGCCAAGGGCGTATTTAATCTCAAACTCATTCTTTTATATTTCGTCGTTTATCCGCCACCAACTCTATTCAACGGTTCCCAAAAATGTTAGACACTTGGGTGAAATGATAACGTAATAATACGTATTATTTTTGTACAGCGTGGAGTGACGATAGCTGGTGTAATATTCCATCTAACTGTTTTGGACTGAATTTTAATATTGCAGTGTTCCGTGTATGCATACAGTATATAGAGAATATGTCATATACAAATATCTGCAAATTTGATAAGAAATAGATCTACGTGGGTTTTACGGCATTATCTCACAAAATGGAGGATAATTTCTTTTTCAACTTTAATCCTGGATATATTTCATTGTATGACGTTCAAAGCCGTATGGTAAACACAGCCTGATATTCGCCACTCGTTGCATCTTTTTCTTGGAAGCACAAGATGAAACATATCCGATCTTTGGGCGGGAGAAGAAAATTTTCTTTTTTATATACCAAACTTGGTCTGAAATCAAATCTTGCAAGATTAAAGTCACTGCATGGTATAACAGCCGAAAGATCAAATTCACTCCCTCGTATAACAGCCGAGCCTCCTTATCGTAAATTCACGCCACTTTCATATAATATTGATCATACAAACATCAGTGACTTGAAAGTGTGGTAGAATTGAACTGACCTGATATGTCACAGTATATCAATATCAACCACGAAAACAAGTCCGGTTCAGCATTGCAGTTTTATCATTGTTTTAAAGGAATTCAAGAGTGATAAATTGATAGAAATTTCAATTTCAATATCAGTAATACAACACAAACTCTATTTGTTTATTCTAGCTCATAAAGTGCTCATTTTTTGTTGCTGCATATATATCTTCCATGGACACACAAAGTCAAGCGTCGTATGGCATTATGGGAAATCTTATATTTTCACATTCTCAGTATATATTTTTAAAATGTGAAAACAAACAAATCATATATCAAAATTGATTCAAGATAAAGTCATGTTATCTTAAGATCAATAATGTAAAAGTAAAGCTCCAGAATTATGTTAGTTTTGGAAAACGGTAAACATCTTACGATATATAGCATTTTGATGTTTAAATTCTCTATTGCACAAATCATTTGAAACTTTTCATTTTTGAAATAAAGTTAGGATGTTTCATTTGCAACACATAT